CACACACACACACACACACACACACACTCACACACTCAGACACACACACACACACACACATACTCACACTCACACTCACGCCGCTATTCAGAATGGAGAAGAGAAGGTCTGAATGGAGATGGTTTCATCAACTCTAAACAGCTAGAGTTTGCACGCAAGACGCTTTTAATTAAATCTTAGTTTTTTTGCAAGACAATGCAACTCTGAAGTCTTCAAAACCGAACGTTTGCTTCATGCCGCGTCTCCTAAAGTCCATCCGAGGCCTGCGTTGAGTGACAGGAGCCGAACTGCGTGAGGACTGACAGGAACCGACAGCAGCGTGTCGGGGTCCCATTCAATCACAGCAGTCTGTGCGTCTGAAGCCAACGCGACAGCGATTCAGCTGTGCAGACGGAAATTATTGACAGTTTGTTCGTGAGCATCTCAAAAGCCAGGTGTTCTCCATTTACAATGTCTGAACAAATATATGAGAGGGGGGAATTTTCAATAAAGCAGAAACACGAAGCGCTGCAACCTTGAAACAGTTTACTGCTCGTGGGAGTGAGATCAGAGAGAGACTGTAGATGCTGAAATACATGGTTCAATTTAAAAATACTAATTTAATGATTTATTTAAACCTTTTGAGTTGCAAACATTATTTTGATGAGTTCTGATGAAAATATTTTTGGCTCTTTGACAAATTGCTTTTGTTTCTCTTCTGTAAGTCTCTTTGAATAACAGGGTTATTATAACTAATTTAAAACCTTCATTTGTGTTACTTGAAATAAAATACACTTTAACAGAAATAAAATATAATATAAAAAAAAAAAATTTTCAGACAGTTGCCAAGGCAGCATTTCTCTTTTTCATGTAGTTTAACATGATGTAGTAAAATAACTAAAACTGAAACTGAAATAAAATTAATGAAAACTATACAGACACATTAAAAAAATCTAATAAAATGCACATCAAAAATGATTAAAACAATAACTAAAATTAAAATGAAAACAAAATATAAAAATATAAACTAATTCAAAATATTAATAAGAACAATGTCTCGATGATAAAACAACCCTGTTGAATAAAAGCATCTGCTAAATGCATAAATGTAAATGTTGATCAACTTAATATTGCATGTAATTTAAATTGAAATGTCAATGTTAATTGTAGTAACTTAATGTAATTATCTTGATAACTTTGGAAGTTGGCTGTGGATTTCTAGTTCCCAGCATGCTTAGCATACGACTGCATAAGGAAAATAAATATCGAAATAGTGTTATTTTAGGAGTTTTACATTTATTAATTATTATTCTTTTTTTAGTCAAGAAAATACATAGTATTTATTACTCTTATGTTTGACATTTAAAATAGTTTCTGTTATGATTACATTTTTTTTTTTTTGGTTGCTTAATGATAAGCTTAATGATAATGATCAATCATATTGATCATATGAGCAATAACTGCTCTAATGCCAATGACAAGTATCTTACTTGTTTATTACATTTACATGCTAAATAGGTTGCATTTATTGCTGTGCTATGCTGGTTATTAATTAAACTGATTCATTGATTCCAGGGCCACAACTCAATTATGTTGAAATTAAATTAAACAAATTCATTTTATTGAGTAATCAACTTAGACATTTATTTACGCTACAAATTATTACGTTGACATGATTTAAACAAAGCTATAAACATCTACTGTTACACCGGCCATGCTTCAAAACCTCTGGTCCATGAGTAATGTATATTGTGCATTTAATTGTATTGTACAGTATGTGTCAACTAAATGCACTTTTGGCCCCGTTGACTTTATTTAGAAAATAAATGATCTTAAAATGCATTTTCACTCATTTATTTAATTAGCCTGCAATCTAAGAACAGTCCATAAAAATAAGGCCCAGTGTACTGTAATATTAAGGTAATATTTTATGTATTGATTTAACCATATTTTGAATTATGCATTGAAGTTTGTTGTGTTTTAGATTTAAAATAAATGCTGTAAACATAACAGAAAAAGTACTGGATGTTTTCTGCTCGTACTGGTCATTTTATATATGTATACACACACACACACACACACACACACACACATATAAATGTCATTTTGGACATTTTCTTTTAAAAGACATGAACATACAAACACACACAATTAAGTACATGTAATACCTTTTTTGCATAATTTGACAAATTTATGGCTTGATTTGAAATGACCCAAAATCAAAACAAAAGTGGTATTTATTTTGATTTTTCTTTGTTTTCTTCACACATCACACGCCTCATATTTAACCTCAAGCTCTTCACTGCAGTCGTCTTAGTAACCAACTAACAAACTATTGCTACAATGCTTTTAATAGAGACAAAACAGTGTAAATGACTTTGGGACACTTGTAATTTGTATTAAAATTAATAATAAAAAAAAATATTTTATTAATAATAAAAAAAAAATGTTAGGCAACAAATATTAAAATGATTAGCTTTTTCCTTTTTTGTTTAAATTATCATAATTTTTAAAAATTTAATATATTTTTTTCAGATTTTGTATTTTCCAAAAAAAAAATAATAATAATTTTAAAGCAGTAATTCAATGACTCAGATGTGTCTATATTGTCTGAAATTCTCACTAGTTCTTGAAACTGCCATAATTTAATTCTTAAGAAGCTTGAATGTGTTGTCACCTGTTACGTCGTCACTAATTAAGTAGGCGGAAATATCAACCGATTCATGTCTCCATATAAGATGTGCTGTCTGTTATTTCCCATATGTCAGTATAGCATATGCAAAAGCTGGAACAAAAGACATAAAATGCTGCTTCGAATGCATATTGGCCTGAATACACAACCAGACTGGAGCAGAGGAACAAAGACTCGTCACAAAGTGCCTTTTCAGAGCCCAGTTAGACTGACACAAGTGAGTGGCACTTCAATAACGACTGCAATTAACAATAATCATGTCAAAACCATTTCTGAAGCCCATTATTAACTTGCTCTCAAAACCCTGCCCAAAAATACTATCATTTATTATTGACCCAGAAAGGTGTGAGAGAGAGAGAGAGAGAGAGAGAGAGAGAGAGAGAGAGAGACTCAACTAAAACTACTCACAAACCACTGCACCTTTAGCTCTGAAAGACATTTCATCATTCATATTACCTTTGCGTTTGGCTATAAGGTGGTTGATAATCAAATTAGGCAAATAAGGCAGAGCATTCACTCAATACAGACTCACATATTCAATGAATAAAGCTCATACATCATTGATTTCATCTGAATGGCTTTCAAAGCTCCTCTGAAGAGCGCCTGTGTCCTTTCCCTTCACATTGTGTTTGTTTATCTGATGAGCAGTAGATGATGAATATACTACAGGTCTGCTGATAAAAGAGAGCTGAGGGATCATCATTTCTCATTGGCATTGTATGACAGACAAATGTCAAACTGTTCACGTTTCCTTCCAGATCTGGAAACATGTTCAGGTCACATTTCACCCTAAAATCAAAAGAAATTACTTTTTAATAAATCAGGAAAATGAAGCCTATTTTTAGTTCCACCCAGCCAGATCTCATTTAATGTTATTTTGATCTGAATTTTATTAAGTTATCATTATATATATA